CCCCAAAACCCCAAAACCCCAAAACCCCAAAACCCCTAAAAATCCTAGAATTATACAATTAAAATTTAAATGAATCTGCAAAAAAGTAAAACAGTTGAGTTCTCTAAGGAGAATCACCAATTTGATGACCAAATTACTCCTAAAGGTAAGCATGCATGAGAAATGTCTCCAAAAATCTGAATATAACCTTTTCTCATAGAAGAAATAAAGATCAACCAACTTGAGACCAGACTTAAAATGCTGCCTGAGAAGTCTGAATTACAAGCTTCTTTGAACAAGAAGAGGATCTCCCAAAGGGAGATCCTCCCTCTTAAAAAGAAGGAGAATTTTCTGACGTTCGAGTCGGATCATGAGTCAGGGAATATCTCAGATTGCAGCGAGCATCTTGACGATAACTATTTCAACCTTCGTAGGATCAATTCTACTCCCTGAAAAGGGGGCAGACTTGAGGATGAAAATGTTGAGAAAGAATCCGACTTCTGTATCATTGATCACTGTGATGTTGAAGGCTACTTCATTCATGATAAAAATCACAAATTTATCAGAGGACAAGAGATCCGTGGAATCCCTAAAATTGATGAAAGCAAGTTGGGCGAAGAGGAATCTGACAGAGCTCCGAATGCAAGTTTCATCTTGGATGAAACTGTTCGCTATAGTCGTGGATCTCTTACTGAAAACTTTGCTGAACAGATTCTAGACTATATCAGGGAGTCTAATGCCTCTGAGCTAATGTATTTCAAGGTAAGCACCTCATTCATTTCTGCCTATGATTCGGATTCATTATTTCACATCAAAATAGAATGAAGAAAAGAATGAGAATGACGAATTTGACAGTTGGGTAATTGCTGACTTTGTGAATGATTATGAGATCCTTGAAAGAGATAGCTTGTGTCCAAATAGTGAAAACAAGGAATCTCAATTAAACAGAATGGTTGTAGTCACCAAGAACCAAATCAACCGAGGCATTGGGGCCAGCGAAGCTGGATTCAATTCAGGTAATTTCGGTGAATATGTGTTCTTTCTATTTCAGATCATTCTGAAAAAATCTAATTGTTTCATATTTGCAATATTAAATTTCTTTCTTAACAAAAGATATAGACCAGAGCTCTCAAGAAAGTAATGACTACGCAATCCTAGCAAGCCCAGGATGTGAAGTTATAAAAACTTGGAGAGTGAAAAATATGTCTGACTACAAGTGGCCTCAGGAGCCATATTTGAAGGCACAGAAGTCATGGATCTCCTGCAAGCTGCCAATCCTTCGCCAACTCCTACCGGATGAGGAGATGGAGATCTCTGTGAGGATCTTCATTGATGAAGAGGTCCCTGATGGATCTACCATTAATTATACCTTCTTTGTGTGTTCAAAGAAGTATATGAACATTGGAGAGGCCCTTACAGGTATGTTTATTAGCTAAAATTGTAATTTACCCCTTCTATAGCCACTATCAAGGTTGACAAGAAGAAGTTCAGTGAGAAGATAGCTGCTAGAAGGCGAGAAGAAGCAAATCGGGAAGAGGTCGGAGTTTCTGAATTTAACAGAATGTTCACCCGTCAACTGACTAAGTAAAGGAAAGATTATATAATTTATCATCTTTCAATTTTAAACAGGTTTATTGGGGTTTTGGGGTTTTGGGGTTTTGGGGTTTTGGGG